CCCCCCGGTATTTCACCACCTTCCATTAAACATAAATCATGTGAATTCTAAGAAATGATGAACTTGGAACTTTAAAATATTAGACTACTTTGCACAACAAAGAGTTCGATCGATTACTTTCAACAAGGGTATTGTATTCTCCTAATAATAATGGAACAATTCTATTCGTAGGATCAAAAAGAAGCACATTTTCTTTCTATACTCGATGAATAGACATACACAACGGAGATCTCATTTTCTATGACAAGAATGCGTCCATACTTATTTATCATTAGAAAATTATGTTCGTAATAATCTGAGTTTTTATAGAAGTCCGATCAACATGATTGAAAATGATAGCAATACATCATCTTTTATAGCTAGCAATGCAAGAGAAGTCTGCAATAGGTTGTTAATGTCATGATGTAATGTGAAAAATGAAGATCACTTTTAAAACAACAAAACAAAGCACATAAAATGTGCCAACTGTCCACTTCACTAAATCATGCTAAATTAACTTTAACAAACTTGGTGGAAGTTTAAAGTACACCCGGGACAGTAAGAAAACCATCTCTTTATCATCATGCTAAGAGTATACAAATCTTAGATTAGTCATTAGTTGTTAATGAAGCACAAGTAGCTATCACGAATCAAAGTTTCAAAAGCCAAAAGAGAGATTTTCTGACGAAAAAAAAGTTAGTTGAGACACGGGATAATAAGGCAGGCGGCCGCTTTCGATACTTTGTGCCAAAGCATGCTCAGTTAATCATCAATCTCCAGCCCAAAGCTGACCAGTACATCCATGACCAGTTAACAAAAATTCTTGTTGAATAACATTGAATAATAATGAAAGTATTTTTTAATTCATATTTGATTTTAATTTAAAATTATATTTATATGTGTCTGTAAGGTAAAAGTGAAATTTATCCTTTTTTTTTAAATCTTGGGCTCCATCTTCTCCTTGCAAAGTCTTGCTTCTGATTCTCTCTGTCTCTAGTTAGTTACCTTTTATTGTTGATCTTCTTGCTCTGTTGCTACCGGAGCTATTGGATATCGACCTAAGAGATACTAAACAAGGTTTGAGGGGAAGGGATGCTGCTATTGATGGACTAGTGCTATCTCTGGATCTAAGAATCATGGAAGATATAATTGAAATATGCACGTGGAATTAAATCAATCCACCATTTTGAGCCCTTAAGTATTGGTGGGGTTGCTTGAAAATAGAACTGATTTCACTCCAAGTCTTGACAACCAAGTTTGGAAGTAGCAAATCACAGGGGCTTTCAGTTAGTTTCTTTTGAAAAATGCTGTCCAAAGTGTCCCTCTTATTGACCGGGCCAACTCCTTTACTAGTTACTATTTCTCATTCTGCTCAGAAGTGTCCAAAGTTTAGATGTGTCACAAGAATATATTGAGAAAACTTATGGTGGAAGAAGGCAAAGAATTGAGGCAGAGAGTACTTGATATGAAACAGGAACTCCATATGTCTTTTCAAGACGGTGGCTCAACACATAACTCTTTGAAGAACTTAACAGAACTCATTTCTTCATTCTGCTCAGAAGAGTCTGTGATCAAAATTTAATTTGAAAAATTTGTGTGTTGTCGCAATGCTATATCTCAAAATAAGAGTGGATCCACTTCCTGAAAAGTTAAAAATGAGACAATTGACCTTAGCTGAGGCATGTGCCCTGGAATTAATGCTGATTTTTATAATATATCTTTTCTAATAATATATTTGGCTTTAATAAAAATATGCATTTAAAAGATTTCAACTATATATATGTAAAGTTTGAGTGAAGACAATGGTTGCAGCTGATGCCTTTACGGCGTTACCTTCAATTTATATGTCTCTTTGTGCAGATGGAACTGGTAAAAGTTGTTGTCATGTGACCAGGAGGTCACAGGTTTGAGCCGTGGAAACAGCCTCTTGCAGAAATGCAAGGTAAGACTACGTACGATAGACTCTTGTGGTCCGGCTAACATTGCAGTCTTCGCTAGCTGCATGGTTTTTATCATTTTTCTATTCTCCCACCATATTAATCAATTGAAAGACAAGCAGTAAAAGTTACTACTAATTTTTCATTAACTATTATATGCTGTACTCCTAGCTATTGTCTAACCATATAAAGACAAGCAGTAAAGTTAAGCATAAGCCGGCTGTTTGTAGCTTACTATATCTGTTGCCTATCATATCAACACCCAAATAGGGTTCCTTGATTCAAAGATCAAACAAATAGTATAACAATATGTACTGCATATAAAGATTTGTGAAGAACAATTATAAACATACTACTTAACAAATATTTCAGAGCTCAATATTCTCTCAGTTCAAAACTCACAACGTCTAAATTCTGAATTCGCCACTGATGAACCAGATGGCTGTAGAAGAAGCAGAAAAGCGTTGTGTGGTTTTAGTACCATCTCCGTTCCAAGGGCATATAACGCCTATGCTTCAACTGGCCTCGATGCTTCATGCTAAGGGATTCTCCATTGTTATAAACCATTCTGAGTTGAATCCTCCAGATAGCTCCAAACATCCTGAATTTACATTCTTGCCACTGAAGGATGGCCTGTCAAACGGCGATCCTTCTTTATTGAATCTATTGAACATTATACCAGCAATGAATAAGAATTGCAGAGTTCCATTTCAAGACTATTTGGTCCAAATGATGGAAAAACCAGAGCTCTATGGTCAAATCTGTTGCATAATCTATGACCATCTTATGTACTTCATAACTGAAGTGGCTGATCACCTTGAGCTTCCAACTATTCTCCTCCGGTCCAGTAGTTGTGCTTATATGGAAGCTATTTGTGCCTTTCTTCAATTCCAGGCAGAAAAGTTTACTCCTTTGCCAGGTAGGTTATGGAGAATACTGTGTTTGGTACGTTAAAAATATGTGTTATAGTTTCAATGTATCGCTATTTTGAATCGTGGAAAATCTTTTCTTCGATAAAAATATTTTTTCCCTAATGAGGAAAAATAACTCCATTTATGAGCTAGGCATGAATCCTTTGATCAATGAGTTCAACTGTACCAAGTATTTTCGACATGGAATATTTATGTATGTTTATAAACTTAAACCACTAACATTCCAAAATAAATTAAGTTTTGAACCCTAAAAGTAAAATGAATTTAGTGCTATAAAACTTAGAGATTGAACACCATCAAGTTTACACCTGGTAAAAAACCGACAGTCGACGAAGAAAAATGCTTCAGTTATGGACATCCCAGTGGGCCCCCTCACATCAGGTTTTCGAGAAAGAAGAAATAAGAATTGCTTTTAACTTCCTATCGGTCCTCTTCTCTGTTCTAGGTCCTTTCCTCACTGAGGACCATGGGCCAACAACTTCAGATACAAAACATGATTTTTCCAAAAATCTAAGTTGTGCCTCCGGGAAGGGATTATAAATATCTCGGTTTTTTAGTTCATATCAGCTTCATCGGACTTTAATATTCAAACTTATCACTAATAAAACATTCTTTTTAATTTACTATCGTATATATGTTGTGCGACCCTCCCCCTCCCTTTCGTTAGCCGAGGGTCTTCCAAAAACAGCTTTTCAGCCTTCTTAAAGGCAAAGGTAAGGTATGCGTACGCACTTCCCTCCTCAAACCCCACTTGTGGAATTATACTGGGTTGTTGTATATATCTTGTGCAATCAATAACCTAGAAAACAATTTCTCAAATTAGAGTCTTTCACAAAGTATTGTCACAGCCTGGTCTTGAGCTTTAAGACTAATTTACCTACTTATACAATTACAGAGGCTAAGCTGCTGGATCCAGTGCCCAAAATACCAGCCCTCAGGTTCAAGGATCTTCCATTTGCTCTGACGTCCGAAATTCCAGAGCCTCTATTGCAGTTATTAGAAAAGGTGACTAAAATAGGATCTTCTGTGGCTATCATTGGGAACACTACTGAGAATCTTGAGAACCGAGCATTGTTATGGCTCCGACAACATTATCAAGTTCCTATTTTCACAATAGGACCTTTACACAAAATGGCGTCCTCCTTGCAAACGAGTTTAGCAGAAGAGGACGCCAGTTGCATTTCGTGGCTTGATACT